CTGTTTGAACTTATTAACAAGCATTTAGCCACATTATTTACGACGATGAAGATCTGCATGTCGACATTGTTTAGCCTGCAGATCGATCTTCATGTTTCCTGACTCACGCTTCCTGACGGCGTCGTTACGAGAATAAACGGCTGCAATGAAAGCTTGAAGCTTTTTAAAATGCCCCCGTGCCAAAAGCAGACACCTAAAATATTCAGAGGTGATTTGTTCACCTCCCAGAATCAGATAGTGAGATATCACCGGCTGCTGGACCCTTCAGCTGTTTGCTGCGGCCGATTGAGCGTCAGACAGAAATCGATTACTGGCGCCGAAATGTGAGCAAACAGCCAAAAAATGTTCCCCACAGTCATAGGAGAGTTACTGAGGACRCCATGTGACGGGACGACAAGAAGGAAGAGCCTCCATTAATCACACGTGATCCAGACCGCTGCAAAGAGCTCCATCWGCACTGCAGCCGAGCTCGCAGCCGAAGGACGTTTGGTCGTCAGAGGAGGCTCGCAGCCGAAGGCCGGCTGGTCATCTCAGCCACACATGCTGCCCCCTGTCCAAAAGAGAAAAGGTCGAGACTCCCAACATCTCAGCACCTGAGCAAACAAACACACCTGACCGCTGCTGATGGGTGAACGCTGAGTCAGCGATTCCTGTTTTTAGCTTCTTTTGTTCAGCACACTTTAGCTGTTTGATATGTCAAAAATATTGGCTGAATCTGGATCAGCGAGTCGTTACTTTTAAATATTTGTAACTTATACAAAAAATCCCAAAACTGAAAGCTACTTCAGCTGTTTTWCTTCTGCTAAATTATTGATTATTTATGCTAATATTAGCTCTTAGTTATGGTTTTACTCACTTTAGCTTTCTGCTAATATTTTGTACATGGTAGCTTGCAGCTATAATTTCATTAAATGTAGTGTTTAGCTATAGTTRAGCATTTTATCACGGTTATGTTCATTTTACCTTTTAGCTATTGTTTGTGAATTTTAGCATTTAGGTGTAGCTTAAGTGATTTTAGATTTTAGCCGCAGCTTTTCTCTTCAMCTTTTTGTAATTGTTTTGCTGATTTTAGCTTGTAGCTACAGTTGATTTATTTAGCTTATAGCCATTGTTTTGATCATTTGAACTTTTGCTATGATTTTACTACTATTAATACAACTGTTTTGCTAAATGTAGCTTTTAGCCTCTGCTTTGCTCATTTTAGTTTTAGCTAGAATTTTGTCTTATTTTTTATTATTTTGTTAAAATTTGAATCTTTAACACATTTCAGCTTCGGTCCTTCGGCTCTCAGTTTTCATGAAGGTATTTTCACTGAGAAAACAGCTTCGTCTGACACTTTGTTCAGAAAAAAGGCAGCTAAAAGCTAAAAGCTGTGATGAAAGAACAAGTGGTGAAGTGGTGAGACGAGCAGAGAGTGTAGGAAGAAAAGAAAACAGACGTGGGAAGAAGTAAAAAAAGAAACYTCTCTGGCCACTGAAGTGGTTTCTCTCTGCAGCCGAAACAAACAGAAACTGAACGGTTTAATAACAGCTAATGAGGAGCCGAAGATGATTAAAGCTGCTGCAGAACACTTCCTGCTTCCTGAAACCTTTTATCCTCCGCTGTCAACAGAAACATCAGGAGGAAAAATTAAAACATTTAACCTGAAAATTTGAGTATTTCTGTTTGATTCTTTTGTTTTGTCTTTTCTAAGCAACACGCTGCTTCTCTCAGCTTTATTATCACTTGCAGCTGAAGGCAGGTGATCATGATTTTACCTGGGAGTTATGAATATCAGCTGTTTACGTAGCTCTTTAGCTTTGAAATTCTGTTTTGCAATTTTCAGCTTTAGATACAGTTTTGTCAATTTTAGCTTGTAGGTAAAGATATACTAAATATATAGTTTTTGATTACACTTTATTTATCTTTTAGCCTGTTTTGCTTCTTTAGCTACTAGCTTCTGTTTAGCACTTTAACTTTCAGCCTCGGTATTGCTAATTTTGCCTCTAGCTATCGTTTTGTTTACCTTTTAGCTGCAGATTTGTGAATTTTAGCTCACTAAATTCAGGTTTTAACTACAACATATTTCTTTAGCTTTTAGAATCTTTTTGCTTCTTTACATTTTAGCTTTTTTAACCTTCTGTTCATCTCATTAACGTTTACCCTCTGGTTTGCATATTTCAACTTTCYCAACAAATAACGTTCAGCAACAATTTGGGTAATTTAGCTTTTTGTTTTGCCGATTTTGCTTTTAACTATGTTTTGCTTATTTGACCTTTCAGCTACTTGTTATTGAATTTTAGCTACAGTTTTACTAAATTTAGTTTTTATCTACAGTTTAGCTCTTTAGATTATACACTCTTGCTAATTTAGCTTTAGCTTCTGTTTAGATCTTTAGCTTGTTTGGGCTACTCATTTAAACTTTAGCTACAACTAACTTTTGCAGCTTTTTGCCATATTTAGCTTTTGGCTATTGTTTTGATAATTTTGCTAGTTAATGCTCATAAATTCAGTCAATTTTAGCTTTTGTCTCTTATGTAATTTAAATTCTATGAAACTGCAGAAAGTCAGTCTAATTCAAGATGGCCGCCGCAGCTAAACTTATTTGGAAAACACTAAAATATTTTTCAGACTCTGAGCTAAAGATTGTTGTGGTAGTAGCTGAGAGTCATCTCTACCTGATCACAACAGCTGCAGGTGTTCTGACACTTTCTGTTTTTTTTTTTTTTTTCATCAGAATACTTAATTTTTTTATGTTAAAAACAGGACYGGTCCACGCTCGTGTCCAGGTGCGCGCTCATCTAAAACACGGTCACGTGCACCTCCACCTGAGATGAATCACGGCGCCAACTTTTTTCTGAAGGACGGAACTCTGCAGGCGCTAAATGTGCGCACAGATGCGTCACACAGGTAGATGCCCGCGCGCGCGCGTGACCTTTCATCCGCCTGGTTCCGAGCCCTGCAGGTCCAGATCGGTGCGTGGTGCAGTGTGGTTCCGACTCATCATGCAGTCTGGACTCACCAGAGCAGGTTGTTGTGTCTCAGCAGCCGCGGCGGCTCCTCGGTACCAGCTGGTTCTGACGGGTTCTGCGGCAAAACAGAACCACTGCGGTCCACATGAATCCCGAGCGTGCGTGTGGAGGTTCGGTCTGTTTCCTGTCAGGTGCAAACAGACGTGATGCAGGGAAACCGGCAGAAGAACTCCGCTGCTCTCCGATGCAGCCTCCCTCCTCCTCCTCCTCCTCCTCCTCCTCCTCACCGCTGGGTTGGGCATGCCCAGTCCCTGCCTCCTCCTCTTCATCCCATGAGGAGGAAGAAGCTTCCCTCAAGTAGGAGCAGAGGTGGGCGTAGTTCTACTAACAGCACTAATTTTTCCATTTAGCGGATTAGCATTTTCACTAACAGCTAATTAGAGCAGGTATGATAAAGGCATGAAGAAGGACCTGTTCCAGGAAGGAGACACTCCTCTTAGCAGTTAGCCATTATTTTTTATTGTTGGCTTACATAATTTTTACTTGTTTAGAGTTACTATAAAATACTTGTTAGCTTCCTGCACATATTTAATTCAATTTATCTCTGCAGAGTAATTCTGCTAATTTTTGTTTGAAGTTAGCTTCCACAGTTTTTATTATTATTTCTGCAGTTAGATTGACTATTTTTTTTACAAGTTTAGATTTAGCTTCCGAAGTTTTTTATTTATTTGGGTCTGCAGATTTTTGTAAAGATTTGTGTAGAGTTAGCTTCCGCTAATTTATTTACATCTGTGTAGCACTAACGAAGCTATACTTTTAGCTTGCCAGGCTAACTCTGGTTAGCTGTGCCCACCACAACTGAAGGTCCGAACATATTTCTATGAGGAAATTTATTTTGAACAAAGGTAAATATTTCTAAAGTAATTAAAGTTGCAACTGAACATTTTTGATAAACTGTTAAAATGGCATAAAGTAGGCTATGAGGAAGTATAGGACTCTGATTGCAACATGTTATTTTATTGACTTAGTCAAATTTCAGCCTTTTCTGTTTCTTTCTTCCTATTTCTTTTTTCTCAGTTGTGTGAAAATTGCTCTACAACTAATGTCTGGTTAGTTATACTAATACTTTATTTTTAAACAGTGGAAAATTTATTGAGAAGCTCAGAATCATTTCTTCTCCAGCAGATGGCCTTGTAGGTCAGTCAGTTTCTCCTCACAGCCTTTTCATCACATAAATCACAGAAAAAAGCAGTAATTCATTTTTGAATTTGTGAATAAAGTACATTTAAATTTATTTTAAGCCTTTTCCCCCCATACCATAAACAGAGGTTTTAAAGTAATTTTGACACCGTAAAATCAAAATCAACTGAAAAACAAGCCCTGTGAATATTTAGTAGATCGGTTTAAACTCAAATTGACCCTCTGTGCGCCGGTTAAACCACCTTTGCCCAGTTTCTTTAATCTCAGATCAGATGTTATGAAACTGCAAACAGAGCAGCTTTGATTGTTTTCTGACTGATTTAATAAATAAAAAACATGCATAAATTGCTTATAGATATAATTTAAAATATATGTCTAAATAAGAAAAAAAGCAGTGTTTATTCTAGACAAAAAGGCTGAAAGTTCACTATGCATGAATAAAAGTGTGACTTTCTGGAGGAAAAACAACATCTGAAATATTTGAAATACTGACTGTGAACGAACCAAATTGAATTGTGGGTAAATGTTCATTTTAAAGTAGACTAACTGGATTTTATAGTTCTGCTTTGAGGATCAGATTACAATGTAATAAATTATAAAACGTCATCTTCCTTGCATCAAGCTTCGCAGTACGCGGTATGGTCAAACAGGAAATTGTTGCTGTAGCTTTCAAAACAAAAGCCATATTAGCAAATGTTGATTTTATTTACAAATGTTTTTCGTGCTGTATAAAGAAATAATATATTTATGTATCTGGRTTGTTAGAATGTGTGCCAGAAAAAAAACTCTTGCATATTTGTTTTAAGTGTTTTATAAGATTTGACACGCATGTTTGTTTTGTTTTGAAAGTCCAAACCGGAACCACGCCCACATTCTGTAYCTCTCTTGTTAGCGCCGCTGAGGGAAGAACTTCACCCGGCGGCGCCAGACAGCTTCCTCTTGCTCAGGTATTCATTCATTGTTGGAGGTAAAACTCTGGATAAACGTTCTGCCGGGTCCGGTCAGGTCCTGCTGCATATCTCCACAGTTCGGCTGAAGATCCAGAACCGTCCTGCTAACTTCCGGAGCGGGAGAAAATGAACCGCAGCGAGCTGAGCGGCTATGATTTCGAGCGGCGTTTCGACGAAAAACGAGCTTTGGAGTGGATGCAGGAAAACTGGTAAAAAATAAAAATAAAAACCTTTTCAAAACAAATTCATCTTTAAAATCATTTAACACTAATAAAGTATCGGGGTTTGGTTCTGGTTCGCAGTCTGGAAGTGGACTTTGTGTTCTGCTCTGTTCTCCGCACCCTTCTCTTCTCAGTTTTCACAGAATCAAGGGGTAAAAAATTAAATAGCTGCATTCAGGTGAACTTCACCCTCTTTTAATTAAAGTGTTACAGTATTAACATTGTGACTCATGCTGGCAGGAATTTATGGGAAAATTAAACTCATTTTATAAAGACGAACAGAGTTTAATTCATCTTCCAAAGAAAACCTAAGAACTTTTAAAAAATGCAACTTTTTATCAGCAGTTGTAGCTAAAGCTCATAAAACAGCCTTATCACCTCCAGTTTGACATCCCTGTCAGACAGTTTAACGCCCTCACAGATTTGTCTTCCGGTTCAGTTTTTGGGTTTGTTCACTCTGATTGTGAAACACCTGCGTGGACTACACCTGTCTTATCAGGTGATGTCAGCTCAAACAGGTGGAGAAATTGCACTTTGTTAAATCAGTGTTGTTTAAAATGGAAGCAAGTTAAAATCTGAGCATATTGTGGTTGCTTTCCTGTGTGTGTTTTTAATATTTGTCGTGTTTTGTGTCTGCAGGAGCACGTCCTTCACGTTCTGCGGCCTGTACGTCGCCTTCGTCTTCGGCGGGCAGTACCTCATGAYGGAACGTTCCAAACTGGACCTGCGTCGGCCGCTGGCGCTGTGGTCGCTCAGCCTCGCTGTCTTCAGGTGAGTTTCAGTCAGACCGGAGCAGAAACTGAAACGCCCACGGCTCTATGTGTTTTGTTTACATGTTTACGTGTGTGTGTGTGTGTGTTTACCTTCTAGTATCATCGGAGCATTCCGGACCGGGCTGTACATGCTGCACGTGTTCTCGAACAGTGGCTTTAAAGAGACCGTCTGCGACAATTACTTCTACAGCGCGCCGGTTACAAAGTTCTGGGCTTTCGCCTTCACCATCAGCAAGGCCCCTGAGCTGGGTGAGAGGAGACTGAACATATAATTACTGACAACTTTTAGAGTAAAAAAGATGAACACAAAAAATGCATTTAGCAACTTTCATCTGGTACAAATCACATRAAGTAGTTAATTATTATTAGATTTAAACAAAAACACTAAAAAGTCAATTTGAATAACCTAAATCACAAAAGCAAAATACCAGAAGATTAAGATGTTAGCTCGTCTCTCTGATACTCCTGACAGCTATGTGCTGCAGGTAAGACACTAGCTACGTTTACATGGACATAAGTAATTGGATTAAACAGCCATTCGGAATAAAAATGCATCATGTAAACACCCCATTTGGATTGTTCTGACCCGATTCAGCTCGATCTGAATGAATTTGTAATGGGAATGAGAGAGGTGCTTTATGCCGATTGATAATCCAAACAGCGTGCATGCCAACACTTAATCTGATCATTTTATTCTGATTGTGGAAAACTGACCTGACTGTTAATGTCTGCTAGCMTTCATTCAGCTGTTTCCAGCAGACCGAACCTTTCCTCCCGTTCTCTCATTCAATAAAGGAAGACACACAGCCTGCGCAGCTTCGCAAAAAAAAAGAAAAAAGTCCGGGCGTCACCTGCAGCTGAACCAGAGTGCAGTAACGTCTTCACCATTATTAAAACCTGTCGCAGGTCCATTCTGAGCTCAGAAGCTGTTTGTTTATCTTCATCCCGGAAGTAGAACTTGTTTTTTTTTTTTTTAAGGGAAAGTTAGCAACTGCGCATGTCAGTGCTTCTATTCAGAATAAAAGCCCGGTGCATGTAAACACTCGTCATGTAAATGATACATTTAATCCGAATACATTTCAATCCGATCAAAGAAGTTTGCGCATGTAAACATAGCTACTGACGGCTCATAAAACCTTCACACAAACCTTTAGGGTGTGGTGTGTTTTTAGTCTTTACCTGCAGAACCAGAAATCTTGACTCAGAGACAAAAGGTGTGTGTTTCTTCTGAATTTTCTCAGATTATAATCTGAAGAGATGCAACGGGAACATGATGCTCTGATTTAATCTGCAGCTGTCTGTGGGTTAGATGTTCTGATTGCTCTGTAGAAGGCAGATGTTGAAATGTTAGCTTAAAGCTAAAAGGAACAAAATGCWAAAYCTAAAACAAATAAGAGGCTAAAATAAGAAAAATTCRAAAAGCTATAATTGAAGGCTAAAGGCTCGAGACACAAAATGCAAGATAAGAGTTAAAATTAATCAAATGTGACATAATAGCTAAAATGAGCATAATGCTAGTTGAATGCTAAAATTGGTAAAATGCAAAATGGAAGCTAAAATGAGCAAAGGGTTAGCTACATGCTAAAATATGAAAAATGCTAGCATAAACCTAAAAGGAACAAGATAAAGGCAAAAATTYCCAAAYTGCTAGCTAAAAGCTTTAGACACAAAATGCAAGCTAAAACCMAAAAGGACTAAAARACAAGATAGAAGCTGAAATGCATAATGCTAGCTAAAATATAAAAAGAACAAGATAAAAGCTAAAAACAGCAAAAATGCTAGCTAAATGCTAAAATAAGAAAAATGGTAGCCTAAACCTATAAGGAACCAGATAAAAACTAAAATGAGCAAAAMGTTAGCTAAATGCTAAAATAAGCTAAATGRCAGCTTAAAGCTAAAAYGAGCAAAATGTTATCAATAACTAAATTCAGCAAAAAAAAAGCTAACTAAAAGTTCAAAGTAATAAAATGCTAGCTTAAAGCTGAAAGGAACAAGATAAAGGCAAAAGTTAACAAAATTTTAGCTAAATGTTGAAATTACCAAAATGCAAGCTAAAACCTAAAAGGACTAGAATACAAGATAGAAGCTAAAATGCATAATGCTAACTAAATGCAAACATGCTAGGTAAAATCTAAAAAGAACAAGATAAAAGGTAAAACAGCAAAAATGCTAGCTAAATGCTAACATAAGAAAAATGGTAGCCTAAACTTAAAAGAACCAGATAAAAGCCAAAATGAGCTAAATGTTAGCTAAATGTTAAAGTAGGCTTAATGCCAGCTTAAAGCTAAAAGCAGGAAAAAGCTAGTCTTGTAAATCAGTGGGTCTCAAAACATGGCTCAAGACCCCATTTGGGGTCATGAAGCACCATGAATTGGGTCTACAGAAATTCTATAAAAAATTCAGATAAACTGTAAAAATGCGAATAGCGTATTTAGCTTAATCTAATTACATCAGCTCTCTGTAATGTTTAAAAAGGGTCTTAAAGTTTTATACTTTAGCATTAAATCCTCTGAATCATGAGTCATCTTTGGGCCGAGAGCAGAAAGGTCTGTGAACTTGTTAAGACCACTTCCTGTTCTCTGCCCCTCCAGGCGACACGGTGTTCATCGTCCTGAGGAAGCAGCGCCTCATCTTCCTGCACTGGTACCACCACATCACCGTGCTGCTCTACACCTGGTTCTCCTACAAGGACCAGGTGGCCGGCGGTGGCTGGTTCATGACCATGAACTACACGGTCCACGCCCTCATGTACACGTACTACGCGGCGCGGGCGGCAGGCGTGCGGATCCCGCGCCCGTTGGCCATGGTCATCACGGCGGCGCAGATCCTGCAGATGGCGATGGGGCTGACGGTGCTGGGCTTCGTGTACCGCTGGATGCACCAGGTGCGCTGCCCTTCCAACWTGGACAACGTGGTGTGGGGCTCGCTCATGTACCTGAGCTACCTGCTTCTGTTTGCCTCGTTTTTCTACAACAGCTACCTGAAAGGCCCGCCCAGCGACAAACGCAACAAGGCAGAGTAACACCTGTGTACCGTTTTATTATCGTCCGCTTCATAAAAGTGACTTAACTTAAACAAATAACCAAATAACGGCCAAATATTTTTAAAAACGGGCAGCACAGTGGAGCGGTGGTCATGACTAACATGAAGAAAGTCACAGGTTTGCCTCTCGGCCTTCCTGTGTGACGTTTACAAGTTCTCCCCAGGTTCTCTGGTTTCCTCCCACAGACCAAAAACATGCCTGTTGGGTTCATTTGTAACTCTAAATTGTTCCTAAATGTGAGTGAGAGTGTGAATGCTTGTTTGTCTCTTTGTGTTGCCCTGAAGGACTAGAGACATGTCCAGAGATGGACACAAGGTCCCCGAAAGAAAGAGCAGGTTAAAAATAATACTTTTAATGTCTTTTAATGTTTTTAATGAAGCTGTGAAACAAAAAACAAACAAAAAAAAACCACTGTTGCACTTAACGCTTTTATGGTTTTGTGATGTTTTTAAAAAAAAACACATTTTTTTAAGTCAAAAGTTTTACAAGATTTAAAGCCGGGGAAGTTTTCTTCATCCAACATGTCTCTTATCGCGTTCCCTTCAGTTGAAGGACATTTTACCAGATTATTTTTGTTGATTGTTTTATTTTGGCCAAAGTTCAGTCACTGTTAAAACRGTCTCTTTACTAAGAAAATGTGATTTTGTTTGTAACATTCCAGATATACCGTTACCACTGACCTCAAACTTTCTTCTAAAAAGGGAATACTGTGGGAAAAATACTAATTTATATACAATAAAAYGTTTTTATGTTGCTTTTGGTCTTTCTGTGTCACTCTTCTGTTAAAAATAAAAATACCTTCACTGGTTTGGTGCCAACATGCACAAAATACTTAATTCTTTAAAACCATTAAAGATCCTTTGCTTCTAAAGTACTGATTAATTTTTACTGCGAAGTCTGTTTGTTCATGCCAAAATGACTGAGAAAACAATTTCAACACTGATTTACTAAAACACTATCTGATTGTGAACGTGTATTAAGGCTGATATTCTTGTATCAGAGTCAATGTTTTGATTCTACAGTGAACAAAGTACATGTATCTTTAGTATCTGATAAAAATGGCCATACACATGTAAATCACTCACTGCTACAGTAAATCCCTTGTCACCTAAAATGCTGGTTTAAACTTTTTTTATTTGTATAACAATAAACGTGTATTTATTGCCCAAACATAAACAAACGACTCATTAAAAGGTGAAAAATGATATTGGTTTGACTCAGTACTGCACTCTGGCGCCCTCTAGTGGCAGCTTCACGTTTCACATTGGTCAGCAGACATATTTCATGTTTTCATATTTATTTTGTCAAGTCAAAATTATAACACTCCCAGCACTGGGCTTGTTTTGTTTTTGTTGGCTCACCTCTTTGACTTCATCATATTCAACAACAACCAAAAAATTAAATAATAACTTTGAATAGAAAAGATTTTCTGACAAACACTTTGACTAAATCAAAATTTTAAAGATGAATTAAAGATTTCTGCCCCTAAAACCTTTTTCTCTTATGAGAATATCAATGAGACTATGTAAGTTATTTATGTTGTTGTTTTTAGAATTATTTTGTCTGAGTAAAATGTTTATTCTAGTCTCTTAAAATTTCAGGTTTTTACTGCAGATAAACCATCATAATATGAAGACGGGGTACCTGTTAGCTGCAGCCTGCCAGCGTGCTCTTGTAGCTAATCCTGCAACTCAGTGACTTTTCAAATATAGGTATAAAAATATGCTTTTTCAAAATCACAGATGCTAACAAAAATGTTAACACATAGCACTGTATTTCGAAAAAAAAAAAGAAATGTCACTTCTTACTTTTGTTTCTGTTCATGCTACATTAGCATAGCGGCACATCTAGCTAACTGCTACAGGTGTACAAGGCGGTTAAATACTTTTTAGTATCTCATCGTCACTTAATCATAAAATAATTTAAACCATTTCTTTAATGTATATGTTGCTAATTACTTTACCTTACTGTAACTTAATTAAGCTTCAGTTAGGTTAGTTCTTGGCTCATACGTGCGATTTTTTTTTTCTTACCGGAAATGAGTTCCACCAAAACGGAAGTCAGTAAAATTCTGGCCAAACAATGAAATTAAGCTAATTGTGAATGCTAATTTTGGGAACTGTTAGATAAAAGGATAGGTGGATTGGTTTTGTTTCTGTAAATTGATGTAATTTTATTTATTTATTTACATGTAACAAATTCTGTAAACTAAAACTGCGTTATGTGTTTTTGAGGAGGAAAACTGGAKCCGAGAGTTTCCAGGAAGCGGACCCAGAGCACAAAATGTTCCGCACCTCCAGAAAAACTCCTGCTGGAGTGAATCCAGACTTCACCTTATGAGAGAGAAGCGATGYGACCGACTGAGCGTTTTACGTCAATAAAATGAAAAGGAGCGCGGAAAGTCCAGTAAGAACAGTCCGCCCGGCCCGCCCAGTGAGGCGGGAGTGCTTCCAGCTGTTCTCCTCCTCGGTGCGGCTCACAGGAGGAGCTCCGTCCGTCCGGATCAGAGGAGAACCCGTCTGGTTGTTGGACCATGAGGAACTGTTCCTGCAGTTTGGAGGAGCTGTAATGACAGGGAGCTTCGTGTCTGAACAGGTCAGAATAAAACACACTGAACTCAAATACGGTACATTTGCATCAAATGCATAAAATTAACTTTTTATTTTTTTATTTTTGTTTGAGTTCATATAAATGCTTTCATGTTTGCATTCATGATGTTATAATGTTTTAGATCTTATTTAATTGTTAAAAGTACATTTCAGTGCYGAGAGCCTTGATTCACGCATCCTTGCTCCATATTTTACCTAAACATAGCAAGAAACAACTTTATTTTATTTTGTTTTGTTTTATTTTATTCTATTTTATTTTTCCTCCACTTATTTTTAGTGTATTAAGTTGTCATGTTTGGGTTTGTTGTGGGATGTTTACTCTGAATGATTAGAGTCAAGAATAGCTGAAGCAATCTGGGTTCAAACGTATTTTGGTACTTAAAAAGCTGCAAATTGATTTTAAAACTTATCTGTGAGTGCTAAACGTTGCATGTATTGATTTTGGGGTTTAAAGGTCTCACTTAATCTTCAGCATTCACACTGTTGTTTTTATTTATTTATTTTTTCTGGCTTCTGTCTGCATACTTTGTGCTATTTTTACTCGTTCATCTTTCAGAACGCTCAGATGTTTGCTTTGACTTTTGACTGGTTTTTGTGACTTTTTCAAAATATTCACYTTATTTAACAAAATTACTTGTTAAAATACACAGAGATCTCTTTAAGCCTCTGAGCTTCATAACTCCAAAGCTAATGCTATTACTGTGGTTAATGCTAATAGTGCTAATGCTAAGTTTGATTAAAAACCAACTTCCTGTCCTAAAGTTTTCACATCAGTTCATGAAAGCAGTTTTATAATCCTTTATTTTGCTCTGAATGATTAATTTTATCATTATTTAAATATAATTGTGTGGTTATTAGCAAGTGCTAATAGCAGCAGCTAGCTGTAGCAAATAGCCCAAAAAGTAAGGGAATTTGTGTTTGGTGGTTATTTCTTTGTTGCAACAATGCTTTTTGACAATAAATCTTATACCAACAGAAAGCCTGATAATTTCCCTTTTAATTGGTGCCACCTTTGTAAGGAATATGCATTTGTAGAATGAGCAGTAGAGCTGAGTATGTGGGTTGCGCACATGAAAACAGCTTATTTCGCTGTTGTTATTGACTCTTGTTTTGAGCTTCTGGTCCACCCAGGTGCTGCCAATCATAAGATTTATTATCAAGAAACACTGTTACAACAGATAAATAATCTACCAAACACTACTTACTTTTTACTAAGTTTATATTCCTGCAGGAATTATAGCGGAAACCGATGGTGGTTTAAAAGCTTTTAAAGTTTGTGTTGTTTAAGAGCCGTTAGCTTGTTAGCTCGTCGGTCRGGTCAGAGAGTTAAACTTTATTTCTCAAAACTGAGCTTGTTCATACCCTTTCCACAGACTCAAAATTTTGTCGTGGTTGATTTGTTAAATTTATTTCTATATWTTTTTTAAAATGTTTTTTGTAAATGGTTGTACGGATTGATCCTTCGGATGTTTGACGAAGCTTCTGTCGGGTGTTTTGTAGTGAAGCTCTGCTGCCGGTCGTCATGTCCCTGTGGATGATCCTCCCTGTCAGTCTGCCCGTCTTCACCATCACAGGAATATGGGTTGTGTGAGTATTTATTTATAGTTACATACAGTTATTTGCATGTCGCAGTTTCAAATAAAGCCTAAAAGTCATGCAAATTTTGTTTTGGCTTTAGTAGAATTGTTTCAAAGATGCCCATAAACTCCCACTAACATTACATCCTTCTAGTG